GAAGATAAGAGCAAGGAAGCTAGGGGAATGTACAGAACATTGCTTAGTATATGAGATGTTAGAAATCAATACTTTCGAAGTGGTACAACTGATAGTAATGATAAGGCCTGAGATGTTACCAATGGGGAGGGGGGATGGGTTACTAAGAAGAACTGGAGGAAGAGATTGATGGAATTGAGGAAATGGTAAAGAAACTGAGGGGCAAGGACATTGAGGGGATCCTCCACGTGAAAGTTGAAGTTGCTAAGAGTGATGATAGGATCTGTGGTTGAGATAAAGTTGCTATAAAATATGCTAAAATATTTAGCATAGGAAGAGTGATAAGGAGGTAGGAAGGTGATTACAACAAGGAGAGGCTGCGGGTTGTATTGGTTGATGGCAGACATTTCAAAGCAGCCAGGATTTTGGTGGAAGAAGGGAGGAGAAATGGTTTGGATGTAGCAGTGAAGAGCTAGAAGGACCCCTCCTCCTAGGTCCCCTGGATGTTTCCTACTGAGACAAAAACAAGTTACCACTAGGGAAGAGTGTGGAAAAAATAAGATAGTCTTAAGATACCAAGTTTTTTGTTAGATCAGGAGGATAAATGGAATGGTCAGACTTGGCTAAAATTCTGTAGTTATTGGAGATACCAGCCTCATGTAGGAAAACCTCGATGTTTTTTATGTGTCCCATGTTTGATTTTGCACGTTCAAATAGCAGTTCTTAATTTTCAAATCCTTGTAAGCTAAAACTATCATTTTTTAATTTAACAAACCTCCAGTTGTCAAGCATGTTAGTGACAACATGTACTTGTTGATACGTCAGAAAATAGGATGCTAAATTAAGCAGAAGCTATGCAGAAGGAAATGATTGTGAAAACTTAAAAACATTTGTCTATTTATCCATGAATAATTTGAAGTTTGCCCTTTTCTACACAATATTTGAGGAGCACACTTCTATACTTTGCATCATGCTCTCTGGTCATTGTTAAAACTAAAAATGAGCCTACGAAGCAGAGAAAGAATCAAGAGACAAAACAAGACTTATGGTTTCAAAGCCTGCAAAGAAAATGAGATGAGGCTGAGCATTTTCTGTGGAAATACTGCTGTACTTGACTGAATCACAGAAGTAGAGCAGTGGTCTCTGTTCATATAGGCCACTTGAACTTGCCAAGAGTATTTGAAGTTCCAGAGCCTGGATCTAGGCCACATCTAATATAGTCAAGTGGTTCAAGTTTAAAAGAAATCCGCTGTTATAGCCCCTCTCCTTTTTTCCAGTTCATTCACCATCTGTCTCCATCTATCATTTCCACCAGTTTCGATGCAGAAACTGGTTTTCCTTTGCTTTCCTTAAATCCTTATTACTTTCTCCTTTACATATTTTTCAGTCACTCTTCCTTTCTTTTCCTCAGTGTTCTCAGCCTTAGCACAGGAGTATATGTATTTTTTAATTTTGGAAAATGCTGTTATTTTTTACAGAAAATATTATTTATGTTAAAATGTAATGGGTTTATTATTGGTATGTTCTAAATTACTGAATACTTTTAAAAAATCTCTTTTAATTTCAGATACAGTAAGTGTGTAGAGCTAGTTGGGATTCTTAATAATTTGAAGAGTATAAAGGGCTCCTGAATTCCAAAAGGTTGCGAACCACTTTCACTACTCCAGAAAATTTAACAGAGCATACACTCTTCTTACAGGCATAAGAAACAAACAAGGCCGTGAGGTTAGATATGTACATGTGGAGAGAGTCCCTTTTCTCTTTTCCCTTTGAAATAGGAGACTGAAGAATATAGGATTGGGGCTTCTCGTGGCCATGTTTCCTGCCATTTGGAAAGGAGAGAGGGTGAGGATGAGGGAGAGGAACACACTGCCTCGTTTGAATCAGAACCCTTGGATTTAGCTCTGTCTGAAGATCATTCACTCTGACTTCCCGGTTATATTTGCTAATAAATTACCTTTTTGGCTTCTGTGAGTTTGAGCTGGGTGTTACTTGTGACTGAAAAAGTTTTGATCAATATGTACTTTGATTCGTGCTGTGGTTTAGTGTCTGGGACAGGCTGGTGAAGCAGCTTCCAAAGTTTTTGAGTCATAAAGCATTCGCGTGTATCAAGATGTGTGTCTTCCTTTATTCGTTCACCGTTGAAGTTCCAGAGCCTATCAATTTGATATGCAGTCATTGGGTTACTTCTTACCAACTTTTTTTTCTTTGTTCGCAGTGAATTCTCTCTCTTATGTAACTGCCTCATAACAGCTTTCAGGTATTTAAATGTACCGATCATATCTTCATCCCCTCTTCTTAGTCGAAACTTATAATTGGTGCTGCATTTTTATATGGGGTACTTATGAATATTTTCAGAAGTATGCTGGGTTGCATAGATTGGCATTCATTCAACATAAATAGAATACACTTTTCTTTTGCAGTATTGTGAATTGATTTTAATAGTTTAATTTCCTTTAACAGAAGTATGTTAAAACACCCTGAGCCTTCTAATTGACCATATGAATGACCAAAACTTGTATTATAGTTTAAGAGCCCTTAGCATGGCCATATGGCTAGTTACTGTTTTATTATGTACAGTGCTGAAACAGAAAACTCTTGAAAAATACCTTATTGGAATGGGAACTCTTTAATAGCTTCCTGTAAACATTTGTTTCTTCTCATATAAACTAAAGACATTTATTAATGGTGAGTGCTACTTTTAAGTGAGGTACTCTAGGCTCTGGCAAAATTATATTTGCCAGAAAAGAAATATAAATTATACTTATACGTTGCAACCAGGCAAAAGGACATATAAAGTTTGTGACATTTCCTTGAATATTCCTTCTTTATTAGCAAAGAATATATCCTTGTTGGTTAGTGTTTTCATTAGAGAATAAAAGTTAAATGAATGAATGTTGCTTATCATCATCTTGAAAAGTTGTGTTTGGTTATCACCATTGAAACGTGATTAGATTTTTCCTCAGGTTCACCCTTTGTTTCTCAGGGGATGTAATGAAAACTGTAGAATGAATTCTCTATTTGAAGCCAGCTCTTGGTTATGCACACAGAGCTTGGCTGTGAATTGCACATAAACCTCTGCATATTTATTTCGAAAATCATGTGAGTTCTGCCAACCAAAGGGTCCTGGACAGCTCAGATGGCAGAGACCACATTAAGAGTGAAGGTATTATCTCTATATTGCTTCAGTGGATTTTGTTGGGAGAGGAAGACACTAAAACCTTCCTATTTAGTATATGACCAAAACACCAGTTCACTGTGATTAAAGGAGTTAATCATTGGCCCAGATAGGGGAAGCACTCCTAATTTTGGAATATCCTAAAGTAAATGGCTACTTTTTCAAACATAAAGATCAAGTGGCAAACCAACTAGGATTTTTTTAATGGCAAGCAACAGAAACTAACTCTGGATAACTTAAATAGAAAAAGAAAGTTAGTGGCTCAAATAATAAGAAAGCTCAAAGAGCAAACTAGCTTATGCGTAACTGAATCCAGTGGATTACGAGTACATTATGTCAACAGTACTATTCTTCATCTCTCAGAAATGTTTTTGTTTTTTTTTCCTCCTGTGTTGGATCCATTTTCAGTAAAGTGGTCTCCATATGGTGCCAAAAATGGTCACTGGTAGTGACATACTCTATCCATTTTTTATCTAACAATTTTAGAGCAAAAGAAAATACCCCCTTCTTGGTTATTGGAGCAACATTTCTAGGGAGGACCCTGATTGGGATGACGTGGGTCTGGTGGCTATCACCACAGCTAGGGAACCGAGTATTCTGAATGATTAGTCTGGGTTATATTTCCATCACTGTGTGAGAAAGGCAGGTGAAGTGATTGACAGCTCCAATGAATTTGGGACAGAAATCCATAAAAGAAAGGAAATGACTATCAATTTATACTTTCTAACCCCTTCACCTTCTCCCTTTCCCTCCAAATCCCCTCCCATCTAGCAACCATCAGTTTGTTCTCTGTATGTAAGAGACTATTTCTGTTTTGTTTGCTCATTTATTCTGTTCATTAGATTCCACATATAAGTGAGATTACATAGTATTTGTCTTTCCCAGTCTGACTTATTTCACATAGCTTAATATTGTCTAGGTCCATCCATGTTGTTGCAAATGGTAAGATTTCATTCTTTTTTATGGCTGAATAATAATTCATTGTATAAATGTACCACAGTTTCTTTATCCAATCATCTATCGATGGGCATTTTGGTTATTTCCATATCTTGGCTATTGTGAATAGTGCTGCCATAAACATAGGCGTGCACATATTTTTTCAAGTTAGTGTTTTGAATTTCTTTGGATAAATACCCAGGAATGGAATTGCTGGGTCATAAGGTAGTTCTCAAATTGGTAGTCACAAAATATTCACGAGGATTTGAAATACAGTATGGAGAATATAATCAATAATGTTGTAAAAATTATGTAGAGTGCCAGGTGGGTACTGGACTTATCAGGGGGATCACTTCATAGACTGTGTAGATGCCTGACCACTGCGCTGTACATCTGAAGCTGAAGTAGAGTAATGCTGATGTCAGCTATAATTAAATACAGCATAGGGAATGTAGTCAATGGTATTGTAACAGCTACATACCATGTCAGAGAGGTAGTAGACTTGCAGGGCGGGGGCGGTTATCACCTTGTGATGGGTGTAAATATCTAATCATTACGCTATTTTGTACACCTGAAACTAACATAAAAAAATAAAATTAAAGAAAAATAAAAGAAAGTAAGAGAAGAAGGAGGAATAGGTTGAGACGAACTTGTGCCTTAATGGTGATAGCAATGACCTTTGATAGGAAAGGGGCCATACAAGAGGTCTGACAAGTTGTGACCCATATTTGTAATTAGTTCTACTTTGTGTGTAAAGCAGAGAGGAAAGACACGCAACTGAAAAACAGGGAAGAGAATGAAGGAGACACAAGAAAAAAGCTTAGGAATGAGCTGTTTCTCTGCTATAATTAAGATATTTCTAAGTTGGGAGTTTCTTTCAGTTTCTCTCTTTCATTATGCCTTTTAGGTGGACAAAAAAATCGTAAGAACTGAGATAGGAGTTCTTCTTCGCCTCTCACATCCAAACATCGTAAGTGGTTTTTTACCTACTATTTAAAATAAACTCCAAAGTTATAGAAGGGGATTTTTTATTTTTCCTGTCCATGCTAATAACGACAAAGGAGATTCTTCCACTATCAATGACCAGCCAGTGAACAGGCTTTTGTCCTCATCTGATCACATTTTTCAGTTCTTTAGCTAAATAAACCTTAAATATAATACCCTTTGAAAGAGTTTCAAAATGGACATATCAGCAATATTTTCATGCATAAAAGGAGAGCTAAAATTTGGACAGTTTTGTTTCACCCTAATAAAACACTGGCTTTCCCCCTCTGTGGGCCTATGTTATTAATATGCCATTGCTGAGAAAGCCTGTGAAGAAAATGCATTGCTTTCCAAAGCCATTTCCTTTTCCTTTGAGAGAGTATCTGCTTCTGAAAAATGTGAAGATTCAAATAAATGATGTACTTGAATGGGGAAAATAAAATGTCCTCAGAAGCTCTGCTCTAGGCTATGTCCAGACACAGGCACTGAGCGAAAGGCCTGGTAAAAACCTTCCTTGAGGCAGTGAAGTGAAAAGAACAAAATCATTTTCCAGGCCATAACTTGTTTTTTGTGAATCAAGCCAACTACTTAAAGAAAATATTTTACTCATTTCTCTGAGAAACTTGTGGTGTGTAAGAGAATGCTTAGGCTCAAGGCAAAATGCTCAGAACTTAATATATGAGTTAAAAATCCATTCAGCTATAAATAAGAGAAAAGCATGTAGTGGTCTAAACAAATATTTTCCTTAGGCTATAAGACATCACAAGGCAGGCATGTGCTAGCATTGGTTCAGCTCCTCAGTGATGTCATCCAGGACCCAAACACCTTCCATCCATTAGTTCTATCATCCTCAGTGCATTGGTTTTCACCCTCATGCTTTTTCCTCAGGGTCCTAATATGGCCACTCCACAGTCTTCACAAGCCTTCAGGTCAATATTCAAGACAGAAAGAAGTGGAAAGGCTTCACAACAGAGTCTGGTGAAAAGAGTAAAAGTTTTTCCAGAATTTCCAGCTGCAGTGGAATTCCCTTCAGATTTTATTGATCAGAGCTGATCACAAGGTCACTCTTAACTTCACGGACACTGGGAAATTGAGGAACAGGGTTATCATAAGCAGTTCAGACCAATTATGATCCAAAATTTGAGGCTAGACACCCTACTTCCCTAAACAAAGTTAGAATTCTGTTTGCAGTAAGGTAGAGGGAGAAGGGTTTTGGGTAAGCAATTAAAAAAAATTGCCACGTGCAATCACCACTTTTACATTATCCATCATTTTGCTTTCAAAGAGAAGTCAAGCTAGAATTTTCCTCAAATGTAGATCAGTCTTAGTCACTAGATTCTCAGATGTATTGAGGAAAATATCCAAAATTGTATAATCTGAATGTGATGGAAACTCTGTATGCTCAATTAAATCACTACCACCACTAATTTCTGAGGATACTTTCAACCACCAACCACTTTTGAGCTGTTGTGGAATAGCCTTTCCATAAAGACAGACTTTATAACCTGGCCCTGCTCTCTCTCTTACCCTTAATTCCAAGTTCCTCCCAGGAGAAAGAGGCATTTGCAGCTCCAGGAACCGAGATGCTTTCAAACGGTTTGGAAAGTTTGATTTGCTTGCTTTTGTTTTTAAATTCTGGAGCAATTCAGAAATTGGGATATTTTGATAAAAATTAAGAAGTGTTTCTAAGGCAGGTTTCTTTCAAATGTCAAAAGAAAAAATATGAAAACTCACAAGGATCCTTGAAGAAATAAAGTAACTGATAAAAACAACCAGAGAATGACAAATGGTTATCTGATACAAGCATGAGGAAACTTTATTAACGATGATCCAATATATTACTATTACAGAGTTTTGTTTTGGCCGTAGTTTTAGCTATTTCTTAGAAAGTTGAAAATAAAGAATCTATGATTATTTTTTCATATCTTTCCCCAGATAAAACTTAAAGAGATATTTGAAACCCCTACAGAAATCAGCCTGGTCCTAGAACTCGTCACAGGAGGAGAGCTGTTTGATAGGTGAGTTGGTTCTGGAAATCTAAACACAGAAAGGTTTTGCCTCCAGTCACCAAAAAAGGATCAAAGGAAAATTGATTCTGAAATTTTTCATAAGGACACATCATACCAGTTGATAAATTCTACTAAAATGAATCTTAAGAGGAGTGTAGAATGGAAGGAGAGTGATATTTGATAAGATGTGAATAGATTAAAATTTGGGATGCTTAGTGAGTACAAAGAGAAACACTATATCTATTTACTTTTGCAAACATTTACTTTCCCAATAAAAAAACAGAATTTCTAAAGTCACACTAAATCTAAACTAAATAGTAAGATTTATGAGAATATTTTTTGAGAGAATATTTGATGAAAATTATAGAAAGTTAAACATGTATTATAATAGTATTCTATTATGATCCAAAAGCTCATAAAAATCAATACTCTTCAAGTGATTGTGTTTTGAGCCTATTTTCTCTATTAGGCTGTGTAAAGAGTTCCAAGTTGCAGAGTAAAACGTGGTCTGTTATAACCAATTATAGCCAATTTAGTTGTCTGTTCATATTTCATCACTCGAGGCAGAGGTTTGAGGATGGCAGGGAGTGTGCCTGGAAACCTGGTAGAACATAATAAGGAAACTATTTGTATATGAGACACAAGGTTTAAGTTTCCATAGCTTTTCCACCTTCCTTGTCTTCTCCGAAGAATCCCATTTACCCTGATGGGCTCTTGGGAACTGTTGCAATTCTCATGAGAGTTATAAAAAAAAAAAAAAAAAGGAATAGAATTGGAAGAAGTCAAAGAGGCTAAGTGGGTGTATATTGGAAATGATAAGAAGCTATGCATTGATGTAAAAGTCTTGTTGGTTCAAGAATAGGTTAAGAAAGAAGTGGGTGCAGGCAGAAGACAGAAGAGAGATTTGAGAGAACTGGTGACATACCCTGAGTGCCTGGAGCACAGTAAATTCTCCATAAATATTAGCCCAGTGAATGAGCAACCACTATAGTGAATGGACTCTGAGAAGAAACATATTTAAAGGAGATAGGTTTAGAGTGTGTCAGGAGAGGAGCAAGACTCCCCTGCCTTCCCACCCCAAGTCCACTCAGTTAAACTTGCTTGCTGCCTCTTTAAGAGCTTCTGAAAG